CACTGTTTCTGCCCCTCTGTTTCTCATTCCTGTCTCTGCCCTTATGGTTCTCATCCTCTGTTTCTGCCCTTCTGTTTCCCTTTCTCTGCTTTGAATCCTTTGTTTTTGCCCCTCTGTTTCTGCCCTTCTGTTTCTCATCCTCTGTTTCTGCCCCGTTTCTCATTCTCTTTCTATGTTTCTGCCCCTCTGTTTCTCATTTTCTTTTTCTGCCTGTTTGTCTTTCATCCTCTGTTTCTCATCATATGCTTCTGTGGCTCTGTTTCTCAGCCTTTGTTTCTGCCCCTATGTTTCCCATCCTCTGTTTTTGCCCATCAGTTTCTGCCCCTCTGTTTCTGATCTCCTGTTTCTCTTCCTCTGTTTATGCTCCTCCATTTCTCATTCTGTTTCTCATCCTGTTTCTGCCTCTCTGATTCTCATTCTGTTTCTCATGTGTATCTCATCCTCTTTCTCATCCTGTTTCTGCCCCTCTGTTTCTCATCTGCTGTGCCTGCCCCATTTCTCATTTTCTGTTTTGCTTCCTCTCTTTCTCATCCTATTCTTCTGCGCCTCTGTTTTTCACCCTGTTTTTCTTCTCATGCTTCAATCCTCTGTTTCTGCCTGTCAGTTTGTCATCTTCTATTTCTGCCCCTCTGCTTCTCACCCTCCGTTTCTGACCTTCTGTTTCCCTTTCTCTGTTTCTCCTCCTGTGTCTGCCTGTTTCTCAGCCTCTGTTTCTGCCCCTTTGTTTCTTATCCTATGCTTCTGCCTCTCTGTTTCTCATCTTCTGTTGCACATCCTCTGTTTCTGTCCCTCTGTTTCTCATTCTCCATTTCTCATCCTCCATTTCTGCCCCTGTTTTTTGCCCTCTCTTTCTCCCCCGTTTCTCATCCTCTGTTTCTCATCCTCTGTTTGTTATCCTCGATATCTCATCCTGTTTCTCATCCTCTGCTTTTACCCCTCTGTTTCTCATCCTCTGTTTCTGCCCCTGTTTCTCATTCTCCGTTTATCATCTTCCATTTCTGCCCCTTCATTTTTCTGCCCCTGTTTCTCATCCTCCATTTCTCATTCTATGTTTGTTATCTTCAGTATCTCATCCTCTGTTTCAGCCCTTTGTTTGTCATCCTATGTTTCTCAATCTCTGCTTCTCAACCTCTGTTTTGCCTTTCTGTTTCTCATCCTCTGTTTAAACCACTCTGTCTTTCATCCTCTGTTTCTCATAATCAGTTTCAGCCACTTTGTTTCTGTCATAGTGTTAGGTTTAGGGTTAGACTTAGGATTATGGTTAGGGTTTGGGCTCAGCTCAGTGTTCCCAAGCAAGAGTGACATTTCTCAAACATCCTTCTTTGCAGGCGAGATGCATGATATCAGAGTCCAATAATTCTCAGAACCATGTTTTTTATGATTTCTATTGGGATGCAGGCATATAGTCATCCACTCTTCATTTCTTTTGTATCAAAGTGTCACTTCCGTATTTCGACTACTTGCACAGATTCCCATGTGATAGTATTTAGACTAGTGGACATTATCTTTAACAAAAATAATTTCTTCCCGTCTCCTCATCCCAACCATTGTCCTCCAGATTACTTTTGCTTCAAATGTGTTAGATACAAAGTAATGAAATGAGTTATGAAAATTGGGGCAAATTAAAGGATTTGAAACCTATAAACTGCAGCTTTCACACGTCAACCAGTCCAATCACGTTCTATATCTAGACGCAAGAGTTACCCCTAGAGCTGAATGAATCTTTAGTAGAGATTATGTTTAAAAATAAATCTGCAATGCTCCTTCCCACCACATTTTTATATAAGCATCGGAAGCTATCTATTTACTGGAAACATGAATCCTTGCTTAAGTTGAAGATATTCAAACAACTCAATCAATAGGAATTCAGGCATTAACTTGTTGCAATAGGTGATACATTTTTAAAGCTGCAGTGGTAAAGTTTGTGAAGGAAGATGGAGATGTTTATTGCAAGTTGGTGAAGAAGAAAATCTTTGAAATATGGAGCAGGGCAAAAGATCAGTTCTACTTCAAAACATAAGTATGACCAGTGTATTGAATCCCATGATGTCTAGATGAATAGAAAGATACCTTTCCAGATAATTATTTTTTTCTTGGCCTATTCTCAGTTTGGGTGATGAAAGATCACCCTCATTGCCACTGCCATCTCATTCTAAAATGATTATGAAGACAATTTTTAAGAGGGACACCTAGTAATCTTTCTCTCTGTGCTTACATCTCTTCCACAAATACCTGCCTTGAAAGTTAAGAAACTTAGGGGTTTTTTTGGATCTTTCTGGCTGTTTTGTTAATTGACGCCATGTTTCTTATCAATTGCACAAAACATTGTGCAAAATGTCTTCTTCCACTATTCTTTGGTTGATGTTGACTTTGAAAACCTGATGGAATAAATTTCACATCGACAAGAACTTAGGCCCATTACATTAGCATTGCCTCGTCTTCAGTAAGCTCTCCATAAAGTTGTTCTTAAAACTGGAAAATTTTACGTTGTGTCTTTAATGCAGAAAAATGTTGCAAAGTGCTTCACAAAAGGTGCAATCTGGAACTTATCCATTGGTGCAAGCTGCACCTCAGAAGCAAAAAAAATGTTATAAATGCCCAATTTTTTTGGAAACGACATTAGCCAATGCAAACTGAGAGATCTGCATTTTACAACTTTAGTACATGCCTAATGGATTAACACTTGATCATTAATTTTACTGTAATTTCTGAATGATCCTGTTACTGAACAAATATTTATTAATAAAAATATAAGTAGCACAAAGTCAGCTTCGTTCTAACATTATCATAGAAGTTGAGGAAAATTTTTGGGTATGTGCTATTATAAATGGGTACAATATTTCACATTTTGAGGTTAAATGAATACTTGGTTTACTGCTATTTTAAAGACTTAAGTTGCTGTTACTTAACTCACCTGAGATACACTTTCAAAGTAAATCATTGTGAAACTGTAGACAGTCGATCAGCATAATAAAGAAAGAGCCTTGAGATACATCTACAAACCTTGAGTAACTCTTTACATCTTTAATAAGTTGTTTCAACCTTATTTCATTTCAAAACACCAACCTAGAAATTGCTAGATGAAAAAAGGCCAAAGTCCATTTAATTCTCCTCTCTCATCCTTTTGGTCCTCGGCTACTGTGGCGTTGTAACTGTTCATAGCAATAAATTTCTACAAATTATTTTACAAAAGATCCAAACATAAAGCAAAAACCTAGTGGCAAGCAGCAATGCTTATTGAAACACGAATCCAAAGAGGGCTGTATGGGGTAGATGTTGAGATATATTTTTTTCTTGTGGGGAATTTTAGAATCATAGAGATCTTTAGCACCATGAAAGGCTGTTCAGCCCACTGTGTCCATGCCAGTCAAAAACAGTGTGCTTTCTACACTCAGCCCATAATCTTGTATGCCCTGGCATCACAAATGCATTTCTAAATCTTTCTCAAATGTTATGAGGGTTTCTAATTCTACCATGCCTACAGGAAATGAGTTCCAGATTCCCACCCCTTTGGCTGAAAAAGTTTTTCCACACATTTCCTCAAAACCTTCTTTCCTTACCTTAAATTTATATGTTGGTCACTGATCCCTACATCGAGGGGGGGAAAAAAGAATCTTCCTAACTACTATGCCCCTCATAATTTTATACATCTCAATTATGCCCCATCTTAATCTTCTCCACAATAAAGGTGAACAATCTGTCTAATCTCTCTTCATAACTGAAACTCAATAGCCCAGGCAACATCCTAGTAAATTTCCTCTATACCCTCTGCAGTGCTATCATAGTCCTCCTTCCATGTGCATCCCTGAACTGTGCACAGTACTCGAAAGGTTTAAGATAGAATTAAGAAATTTCTTCTTTAGTATGTTTATTGAATTCTATTCCCAAAAAACTGGAGGACAAGTCATTAAATATGCTCAAGGATGAGTTCAGCAGACTTGTGACAAATAGTGTAATCAAGGGTTATGTGGATTGTGGATGGGGGTGCAGGCAGGATAGTAGAACAAAGCTGACGATTAGGGGAGTCTGGATTTTATTAAAAGAATCAGGCCCAATGGGTTGAATGGTATACTCTTTCTCTCATAGATTTTATGATCTTCTGGAACCACAGGACGAGCTGTTCCTCCCAAGCATGATACACCCTTTCTGCATTGTGTTTGAAATAACAGTATGTCAAAATGTGATTTAAGCTACCAAAATTTTGCCATAGGAATAATGCACTTGTGCACAATCTTTGGCATCCATCTACAAACTAAGCATTGGAAAGCTGGGGTTGTAAATTTTCTTCAATTTGTCCTCAAGCCTGAAATGAGTACTAAGCATAGAAGGTGCTTCTTCAACCAAGAATGGCAATGAAGTCAAATATTTGGCCACTTGCCTCATGGACAGATCTTGAAGAGTTGGAGAGACAATGATTGGGGTGCTCTATAGAACCGTCATACTGGACTCAAGATTAACTTTGATGCTTTGGAGAATCAGATTCTAATTATGCATTGTACAATTCCATCTTGATCAAAAACCAAAGTCAGACTCATACCAGGTTTGAAACTTTAACTCTGTTACTCTCTTCACAGATGCTACCAAACCTGTTGGGTTTCTCCAGCATTCTGTTTGTTTCAGATTTTCAGCACCCACAGTATTTTATCTTTCTTCAAAGCTACAGTTCAATTAGCTCCAAATAGTGGGTTACAATACTCAAAAACAGGAAGATGCACTAGAAGTCAAGTTGACGGGAACAAGCAATTGTGGCAAAAGAAGACATAGATATTCTGGTTTGGGTAGGCTAGTTGGTGTCCTTCCTAAATCAATGAGGCTGTATCCTATGGTGGATAAAAATGTATTTCAGTTCCTTCCACTAAAATAACAAAGAAACATGTATTGTATTGCAGCTAGTGCAGAAGAGGAATCACCCTTCCATGAGCTGGCAGGCCTCTCTCATTCTTGCTTTTTTATCTCTTAGAGTCTTAAGCTATTTGTAGAAAGATACAAAAAGAATAATCTTCACAACATACTTGCACTGTTTATTGATTTTTAAAAAAAAACAAACAGGCTTTTTACTATGCACACAATTGTGATATCATAACAGTTACAAAAATATCATATGAAGTGTATCTTGTATGTTACATTGCAGACTTTAAAATGAAAATTAAAAGATGAATCAGTCCAAGGAAGATTCACATTTGAACAACTTTACTCATGTTTCCAGTCCTAGTTAGAAACACCAAAAGTGTGCATTTCTTTTGTTCTGTATGTGTTATAATATTGGAGCTACTCTGGTAGATGAAACTCACTTTAACATCATTCATTTGAATCCTCTGAATTAGCCACATTTATTAGTCATGTTTTTAAATGAAGCATTCAATACTACACTATTTCACAGCAAGTCCAGTACAGATGGACATTCCCAATACACGGTCACTAACAGTGCCAGATAACTTGCGCTATTGAATTTGGGCAAGACTGTTCAGCAGAGATGTTAGAAAGCACTTTACACAAAAAGGGTGATAGAGGTTTGGCAATCTATTCCACAAATGTCAGTTGATGCTAGATCAGTTCTTAAGATTTAAATCTGAGACAGATTTTTATTAATTATTCAAAAAAAGGGGTTAAGAGAAATGTGTCAAAGGTAGATATGTGAAATTAGGCTACAGATCAGCTACAATCTCGTTTAAATGGAAGAACTGGCTTGAGAGGCCAAATGGTCTACTCCCGTTGCAATGTTCCTATTTTCCCTTGAAAAATACAAACTGTGGGCAACTTCGATACACCAAGTCCATTTGCAACCTTAAACACTGGATACATAAGGTAAATGCAAGGTTAGGGGGGAAAAAAGTGTGCCACGTACATTGTCTGGAAAACTCTTATTTGCACAGCTTTAACACAAAGATAGTATTAGAGAAATCAACCAAAGTAAACAACTTCCTTTACATTAAGCAAGATATGAGGGCAGGTGGAAATTATAGGCCTGACACTGGCAATTGAAGAAAATGAAGTGGATATTAAGATTTTTGAGAAGTTTGTTTGGGGGGGGGGGGGTGGTGCAGGGGTGTGTGAAGCATAGGAAGAGCATTGGAGAGAATCGTTTTCCCCCGTTCCTTCATCCTCAATTTTCTCTCTGTGCCTGCTTTTGGATGGCCTCCTGGTTCTTGGAACTTCTGCTGGTTTCATACTGTTTGTTTCATTGGCCCGCAGTTTACAGACGGTAAAACTAACATTTGTAAATGTCATCTGATCTCATATGATAGCACATGATCAAACTTCCAGGTTTGGCTCAAATCAGAGTCAGCAGCCTTACTCCACCAGCACGGTAGCTACTGACAGATATCAACAGCCACATCAAGCTACTCAAACATAACCAGCTGCAGCAGAGAGACAGGTAGTCTCAGAGAAGGTTTTTCAGTATATTAATCCTCCTCTAAACTGTGCTGGAACTTGCCATGCACTCTATTCCTCCACCAGCCTTCTAGCCCTATTCAGATTTCCACTGCAATAGATACAAGAACCATGCTATTTCTCTCTCAATTGCAAAGAATATTGGGATGGCAATGAACTAAGAAATTTGAACAGAAATTATATCTTGCTGGCAGGCATTTAGCACTAGGCACAATCTCAATCAGGGGTGAGACAGAAAAAAAAACAACACTGTAGGAGATATAGCCAATCTCAGAATAATTAGCTAATCTGTACCGATTCAAAACTACACAGACCTGCCAATAATGGACACCTAATACGTATCCTTTAGGTGTCTTTAATTTAGGAGTGAATTGTACGATAAATTTAGATTTACTTGACAGAGCATTCAAGTGTTTTGAGAAATACAGCAATGTTATATATTTTTGGATTTCTTTTTGACTCTCATTTGTTTTCCAATGCATCTGTTGCTCTTGCTCTGTCATTGTACATTACGAAATTCTCAGGTGCTCTCAAAATTGAGACAGCCAGCACTCCATTCAAGTGCATGAAAGGAATGCATACCGCCACAGATTTTAGTGACAGGTAACAACTTCCATTATTTGTTTATAAAATCCCTCTCCCATACACGAGCATGCAGTTCTGGTCACTTAAGATGTCTGCACTCTAAACACCTGTTACATTTCAAACCACTCAGCAAAAGCAGAGTGTAGCAAAACTGCATTTCTCAGTTCTACTTACCAGCAGAAACAGGAGAATAAAGGGGAAAATATGCTGAATGTATGATATATTTAAAATTCTAAACATAAGTCTCAGGACAGGTAGAAAAATTCAGGAGGGGATTCAGCAGATCATACTATGTACTATATACCACATATTAATTTGAAATTCCAGTTTTCAGGTACTTAGTTCTCTCAATATTTGTTCTTTTTTGAGTCCTTTTATATATGTCTTACTATGTTTAATTAAAGATCATGAGTTGGAAGGAAAAGGTAAACAATTTGGTTCTATTGGTTCCTTCATTAGATAAAGCACAGCATGGCTCCAACTCTCAAGTTGTCTCACTGCAGTAGATTATTATTCTATCCGTCAAAGTAAAGCACTAATGTGAAAAGAGTAGAGCTAATATACAGGCCAAATTTACCTGTTGTTACATACTGGTGCATGGTTTAGAATCTGGAACAAGAAGTCAATTTTCGAACAAACAAGCAAGCTGAAATGCAACACTTTGCATTTTACGATAAGTCTCTCTTTCTTAAACAAAGATAACATATCTTATATCTGTAATACTTAAGGATGACAAAGCAGTTGGATTTATTGTAAAAATTTAACTGTACAAGCTTCTGCTACAACTGAATAAATTATTTTTTTCTGAAAGAGTTGACCCATGACTTGAGATTATTTAGGTTAAGGAAAATCTTGAACTTCTGTAGGTTATCCGAGATTGTTTCTAATAAAGTAGCTTCTTTCCAGATGCCTTTACCTTTTCTCAGAGCTTTTAGTTCTGCTTTAAGCAACTTTGACTGTAATCTCCAGTACAGTTTAGGATTCGATTGTAGACCCTCAATGTTAATAGCTCGCCCAAGGCCTCTCCTTAAAATCTCTTCATTCAGAGAGACCGAGAAAAACCTACTCTAAAAGTAAAGAAAATGCAATTAAATTCTATTTAAACTAACATTTATAAGTTTTGAAATGGCATGTTACATTGCCAGTACTTTCACTTTGCCTTCACAGTAGTGATCATGTGTAAATTTGGCATGATGAAGAAACAAAAATGAAATCCTCTGCTGAATTGGGCAAAGAGAATTTTAATTTATTTTTCCCCAAGGGAATGTGGGCACTGCAGTTTAGGTCAGCTTTTATCGCCCATCACCAAACACCCTGGAAAAGGCAGTGGTGAGCTTCCTTCTTGAACCATTGCAGTCCCTGTGGTATAGGAATCCCACAAAGCTGTTAGGGAGTCCAGGATTTTAATTCAGCAATAGGGAGGAAATGGTATTATAGTTCCACATAAGAATTTGTGACTTGAAAGGGAACTTGCAGGTGATGGTGTTCCGAAGCATCTGCTGCCCTTATTCTTTTGGGTGAGCTTGTGGCTTTGGAAGGTGCTGTTGAATGAGCTTTTGTGAATTGCTGCAATGTATTGAATCAATACAAGGGACTATGCCAAACATTCTCTCAGTCTGAGACTGGAATAAATAAGAAACTTCCTAGTAGAACACTGGATGGCAATTAATAAGGGAGCAATCATTAAACGTATGAGATGCAGCTCAAGTTTGTAACACTGAAAACAAATGAGGGAAGAGGCAACAGGGAGTGTGGTGCAGCATGAGCCTCAACGGGAGGTTGATACTCTATCTCTGCTAGTGTGAGACATATTCGAAAAAAGATGATGGCACAAACACTGGTAAGAGTGGAGAAAGTCACTGCCCTTCTTCCTACATTGCTATACATTCGTCTAGACAGCTGAAACTGCACTGACCTGAGTGGAATCCTCAGACCAGGCTGGCGTAATCTGGTGTTGTGGCTTCCTCTGCTGGTGCTGAGCAAAGACAAAGTCCCATCCAGCAGGACCTTCTAGTCCCTGCATGCAAACAATATGCCAATTTTCCTTCATCAGCCATGTCTGGGGCAAATGTCAGGTGCAATGCAGAGCAGCTCTGGACTGATCCCGCTTGAACAATGGCCTTTTAAAGATGGCATGGCACCTGGAATGCTGTTTCACAATATCCCGGCTGTGACAAGCAATACTGTGCAGCCAAACGAGCTAGAATCAGATGACAGGAATGTCATAGAGACTGGGTAGGTAGCTAATGAAGTGAATTTGGTGAGATATGCCAAAAAGACTCACTAGGCCTTGCAGCAAATAAAACCTGTCAAAAAAGCTTTTGCAACTGTCACTTAGCTAAACCTAAGATTTACTTACAAAACTGTGCCAGAATAGTAATAAAAATGGTGTCTATAAAGGCTATTTGTATTGTGTCTCACTTGAACATCTCAAATTATATGCTGCTATAAGGCTCAGAACATGTAGCACCTCTGTTATAGCACATTGTAGGCACTCATCTTAAGGAGTTTGGGCAATTAAATATAGCTGGAATCATTTAATACCATGGCATCCAAAAAACCTTTTGCTACAAGGCTCTTTTAACAATGAAAAGTGGATAAAAAAGATATTTCCTAGTAACAAATTTAAGCAGAAGGAAGCAGAGGCTAGCAGTTAAGAGGAATTAAGGTGAAATGCGTAGGGAGTTATATTGAAATCCGTTAAGGAATTGAGTCAGGTGTCCCGAAAGCATGTTGACATTACGAATGGTCAGGTTATATTTTAAAAAAACACATGGCAAAATAAAACAGCTGGAAGAGATACAGCTCCAGAAATAAACTTGTTAGCAGAATTCAAACAATTAATCTTGTTTAAAAGGTGAGCCTATTGTTTGCAGATTCTTAGCCTAGCTGTCTGTTAGAATGAAATATTATAAAAGAAAACCCCAAAGCTAAATTTGGAAGTATTTATATTAACTAGAAAAGAATCAGAATGAAAAGGAGTCAGGGATTGATGCTGAAATCATTTTTATACTATCAACAGAAAATGCTAGAATTACTGAAGTCAAACAGTAAGAAACTAATTTTTTAGGTCAGACTCTTTGTCAAAACTGGAAAATGCTACAGGATATGACAGGTTTTAACAAAAAAGGAAAGTCTAATGCATGATGGAAGACAGGTGAGATTAAGTGATAAAAAGAGTATTTTGCTGCTGACAGTGTAATCCCCTTTACTCTACAACTCTGCTTCAACTCCATGTCACGGTTTATAAATTACTCTAAATTTTGCAATTTTAAACTAAAAATCATGCGATATTGGTTTTTTGGAAGTATATTTTCTTCATATTGAATTAATGTTGGATAATTTTAAATCATTGACAAGTTTTTTTGTAAATTCCTTTGAATTATCCACAATGGACAACAGTAAGAAAGTAATATTCATGCAAATCAATTTAACTAATTTAAGCCTCTGAAAGGTTACTTAGAGGACTACTTTTTATCATAAATTAATTCTATAGCATTACAGAAGCTCAGATTATTTCAGTAGTGTATTCTTAGTATCAAAAGAAAAAGCAACTACACCGTTGCTTAGCAATATGTCATTTTTTTGCACAATTCTCAGAACTCAAGCTAACCCACCGCAAAAGTTTGCTGGTTTCAGTCTTCTCAAGCATAATATAACAATACCATGAGTTGAATCAGAAATATAAACTTGTTCATCTGAAAAATGGACTTACTTTGTTTAATCTTACAATAGAATCAATAAAAGAATTCTCCCTCCTCAGAGGTTGGAACCAAACAATGTGAGAAGGTTTGATTTGCTCTTTTAACCAAGCTTTGCCCTCATCAGTCATTTGCAAGCCAGCCAATCGAACCATCAGTCGACCACTTGACTGCCCTGAGGAAAACAGACATACTTATGAAATAAAATGCACTTCATAAACAACAGGTAAAATAACTTTTGCCCCTTTAAATGATTTTGGGTTTTACTTTCCTTTTCACACCTTCAAAAAGGATGCCCACAAATAATAACCTTTTGACAGTACCCAAGTTCAAGAATAAAGAAGAATATTCTGTGTTTTGTGGAGGATCTGAGACTTTGAACAGATATTACAGGGCTCAATCACCTTAGGGCAACTCTTTTCCTCGTATTATTTGAATGGGGAATTTACAGGAAGGTATACTGAAAGTTGACAAGAAGAGGTATTCTCAGATCAACTTGCCTTTTTCCAGTTATGCATCTAGCCTGTCAGGTAGAGCTTGAATGAATGGGTCCTCAGCTGTTGGTCTATTTACATGATTCATTATCAACTAATACTCAAGTGACAGCAAAACATCATGCCAGCATCTATATAAGTGCAAAATAAAGCCAGTCAAGTTAAAGCATATTGTAATCGATTTATTTACTGACAACATAAGAGAGCTATGGCCAAAATAGGTACTATTTGGGCACCGTTCAACACAGAGGATCAGTGCACGCATATGATGTCTTGCAGAAAAAATAGCTTCTGGTCAAGGAAGCCTCAAGCTAATAGAGTCTGGGGCATTAGCTTTGAAGCTCATAATGGAAATGCAGAGCAAAAGCTGAAAAAAACAATACATTAGTATAAAGTATAGAGCTGTGCTTGTTAAGCCAGGATCATGCTTGAAGACAATACCACAAAATAGCTGAATTAAGATTTAAAACTATATACAGCAAACATTTTATTAACCAACACCTATGGGACCAGGAGTGTACTGGTTGATTAACTATTCTGGTTCATCAAGCAATCCACATTATCAACATAAAAACATACACTAAGTAATAGAAATGTAATACAGGGGGTGTACACATCACTGTTATACTTGATTTATAGCATAAATCACTTAAATAATAATGCAACTTATGTTTATGTAAGACAAACAGCAGGAAAGCCTTCTCACTCGCACCCTCAATCGGTTACTCAGATATCGCGGGGATCATGATAATACACTAAGCTTCTAGTATTTCAGGCTTATAACTTTCCCAGTGTATCTTGACTGCGAGTTCATAAGGTGCCGGCTTAAACAAAGATTACTATGGTAGGTTTTCACAAAGTTGCCCAGCTTAATATGGTTTTGCTTTAAAGTCACTTAAATTTTAGGGCCTGTATTTTTCTCCCCCCGCCCTCAATTTACATCACCATACACATTCTTAATGCACAATTGTCATAGGTCATACTAATGGTTCATGTTGATCTGATGTGATCTAACATCAGATTCTTTGGCCATATAATAGAAGCAGTTTTTGCCTCCTTATTTGAAGGAAGGATGTAAATGCATTAGAGATAGTTCAGAGAAGGTTTACGAGATTGTTACTTGTTATAAGTGGGCTTATGAGGAAAAGGTTGGACAGACTGAACCTTATCCCACTGGTGTTTATAAGAATGAGGGGTGTCTTCACTGAAGTATAAAGAAGTCCTGACTGGTCTTGACAAGGACAATTTGGATGAGTCCAGCACTAGGGGGCACTGTTTTACGACAGAGAGGAGAATTTCTCCTCTCAGCTGCAGTTTAATTTCAGAACTCTCTGCCTCAGCAGGTGGTGGAGGTAGAGTGCCTGATTGTTGTGAAAGTGGAGGCAGATTTATTTAATTACCCAAGAAAAATCTAAGGTTATCAAGAGTGGGAGGGAATTCGAAACATAAACAGATCAGAGATTATCTAAAATGAATGATACAGCGAATGGGGTTACGGTGGGAAATGAAGAGTCTGCTTCTGCTCCAAAATTTTACATTTGGAGCTTTCTTGAACCAACTTGAAATTGACAGGTTTATCTGCACTCAAAACAATATGCTGTGTTACAATGCAATCACTCAAGCACAAATCAGAAATATCCAGCAGATGATGCTAATAAGGCTGCTGCAGCTAAGAATGCAATTTAAAAAAACACACACCCAGTGAAATTGGATGAGTTAAAAATGTTTTAAAGCTGGAGAACAAGCAGATGTTGCTTGGGTTACCTCCTGTGATGAGAACAGTCTGTAGTACCACTGACAAAGTGTTACCACTTTGAGTACTTTGATTTTAAGTGCGAGCAAGGAAAGTCAGGCCAGAAGCAGCATAATGGAGAAGATGGAAAAGACTCCGCTGTTTAGATAGAAGACCAAAATTAGCTTCTTAGTTAGATGGTCATCCGAGTAAAAACAAATAGCATATAGGAGAAGCAGGGCAAGTCTGCTCAGTCAGATAGTTTTAAACATTGATTGTGAATGATTTGACCATTTCAAGTAACATTGTTATCTGCACATTAAAAATGAGCAGTGAACCAGTTATTGTTTATGCAGAAGCAGCTGATGAATCATGTCTATCCGAAGGCAGTCATTGAAGATGAGTATTCACTAAAACAAATATGTTGATGAGGCTGGGCTCAAATAGAGGCCACGGAAATTGTAAATGTTCATGAAGGAGAAGACAGCACCAGCATTTAAATCTGCCAAATATCACCTGACTGTTCTGCTTGTTGGAAGCACGCAAAGATTTTACATTTATTCCTTTATTTATTTAGTGGTGTACCAGTCCAAGACACAGTGGGTATTGAGGGGTTATTCCAAGAAACATGTGTATCATTTTGTGTTTAAATAATAAATCCTGGATGACACTAGCATTCAAAAATCACTCTTTACAAACACCATTCTTCCCTGGAAAGCATGCTGCACTACAGAAAATATTGCCTACAAAATACTGGATAATTGACCTAAACTTTCCTACCAACTTTGACTAAATGGTCAGGAAATATGAACATGATTTTCCCATATATCGACTTAACCTGTGGATGAGGGAGCAATAGCAACATTCAATGCATACTACCTTCTCACAAATCAAAGCAACAGATGGCAAGAATGTGGCAGTCAGGGCATTTTGACATGACTATAACATTTCAAGGGCAATGTCCCTCATTCATGGATTGAAGCCACGTCACGTCTCAATGGTTAACAGCAGAAACTGTGGCTCAAGTAGGTCAGTGACCACTAAGTTTCACAATGCTGTCCCTGAGGTTCAAAATGAAATCATCACCTTGATGAAGAAGGCTTGCTTTAATGAGTTGGATTAAGCTGAAATGATAGTACAGCTTGCATTCCACAGAGGGGAACTATCCAATCAAGTTTTAATGTTGCTGGGAGAGTCAATGAGCTGAACAGAAACATATGCTGAAAAAAGTGAATTTTCCCAATGAAATATCTGTTGAAAGATTTCAAAACACAGAAACAATACTCACCAAGGTTGACCCAAATAGAAACAGACTGCCAATGTGAACAGTACGATCAATGATGGCATTAAGTAGCATGGAAAGATCTATTAGAAGTGAAAGAAAACTACCCAAATAGCCCTTGATAAACTTAAGGTTGTAGGTGATCCTGAACCTTTATCCTATTAATGTCACCAGAACATAGCTTTTGCACACTGCCTTCAAAACCAATAGTTATGCCAATGTAAGCCATTGAATTTTTCTAAATTGAATTGAATTAGCTTTATTGTCACATGTACTCACATGAACACAGTGAAAAGATTACATGTCGCCATTTACGGCACAATCTTAGGTACCTAGGTACAGATTTTTAGGTACAAATTCTTAGGGGAAAAAAGAAGAAAAATAAAGAAATAAGAAGTCCAGCATTACAGATCTTCAAAAGTACAAATTTATAGTCATAAATTAGAAAAAATAAAGAAATAATAAGTTCAGAATAACAGTCTTGCCACAGTAAAAAGGAAAAAAAATTAAAAAGAAAATTTAAGACATAGTCGGCTTAGTCCATTTCACGACTCTGGGCTTGAGAGCTCGACCTCCCCTCCATTGGAATCCGGGTGGAACCTGCCACGATGCCTAAGAGAAAGCTGCAGAGAGTCACAGACTGACTGAAGCTGCCACAAGGAAACACAGATCAAAGCCAACAAAAACAGCCGTTGAAGCTGCTGACAGGACTTCCAAGCCATCGCCAAAATTGCCGAAAGGAGTCTCAGGCCAGACCAGACTGACCATGCCTCCCCTACAGAAGCCTCAAGGAAACCTGGGCCATTGGAAATTTAGGCACTGACCCACCTTGTCTTCAGTCATCGCCGAAACGGCCTAGTCAAAGGACTCACCAGGATGCAGCCTAGAGGAGCGGCTGGATCTACAAGGCATTCTCTGCTGCAGTGGCCTCCCAGAACCTTCTTCCTCACCCAAAGCCACCCAGAAAAGGTATGATGAACTTGACGTCGAGTCAGTGTTAGTAGTGCATTAACAATGCAGAAGCTGCCGGAGACCCGAATGCACTTCAGACTTGTTGCCATGCATCCGTGTTGCTGGGTCCACTTGCTGCCACCAGTGTTAAAGCAGTGACTGAGCTCTTCACAGGAAGATAAGTAAAATTAAAAAAAAGCGAAGGGGAAAAAAAAAGAGAGAGAAGAGAGTGAGAGAAAAAGTCCAGACAGAGCAGACAAGCCCCGGGCTCAGAGGCCCCAACTCTACTGCCATCTTACTGGAAAAAGTAAATTACCGAAAGACAATGACTAGACTCCCAAACACGAGAGCATGGGATCAGACACCAGAATTCATCACCCAGTGGTGTCCTTAAAAGATTCTCCAAATGCAGAGGTAAGAAATATAAATGTTACTTTCCCCTCAGCCAATATGCCCAGTATCAAGGCACTAAATCAAAATCACAAACATTTTAGGTATGTCCTCAAAGCATCTTTGAAATGATAAAACTCAACATGAGATATTAGTTCAAATGCAAATAACCCAGAGATCTAGTAAATGGAATCAACGGACCTCATGTTCACTACTTTGAGACAGCATGCAAATATTAGATATTTCTAATCAGCCTGTTCAGAGAGATGTTATTACAAACCTCTGGAACAGATGGGGCTTGAATGTGAGTTTCCTTGCTCATAGGTAGGGACACTATCACTGCACTAAAGAGCCCCAGCACAGGAATATTAGGTATTTTTTAATTAACCTGTTCAGGGAGGTTATGACACACTTTCAGGTCAAAGGTCACTTGCATCCAGGCTTTTTGGTCCAGAGGTAAGGACACTTCCACTGCAACAAAACAGACGTCTCAAGAATATTGGATGTTTTATATTCAACCTGCTCAAACATGTTAATACACATTTTTGGAGCAGCTGGAAGTGGAACTCAGGCCTCCTGGTCCAGACATAGGGAGATTATCACTGTGCCACAAGACACTTCTCACAAGAATATTATTGCAATGATAATGAGTGACGATATCTGTTTAGCAACAGATGCCAAAAACAAACCAGCCACTTCAGAACTTAGAGCTGTTGCGGAAGGAAGTCCTTCTTTAACCTGAAGAACTGCCCAAGACAGATTGGCGATTGTTACCCAACTTGAAATAGTGTATGTCTTACATTTCGTAATTATTTTATTTTATTTATTTACTTCTTTCAGCAACAAATGCAGTCCTGCATATGTATGATACAATTTGTTAACTTGTACACTGAGTTCTGTCAGAAATTACTTGCTTGGAAGGACCAACTCCAGCTTTAAAATTGATTCACATGTGAACCCATGACTCACTTGAAGTTGTTCTGTTCAAAGTTGTGATTTTTGCTAAGGCAACTGCAACATTATATGAAGACTCACCGCATTTGAATTTCACAGACATTAATTTGTTCTAATCTATCAACAAATGTTCCACAAGAGAAAAGGAATTTCTGCAAGGAAAAATAGTATACGCCACATTTTAAATAATCTTCACAAAGAAGATACCCACCATCATGTTTTGTGGCACATCAGTCTGCTAAATGGAATAGGTTTCAAACAGATCCAACAACTCAACTCGAGATGTGGAAGTGCCGATGTTGGACTGAGGTGGACAAGGTCAGAAATCACACGACATCAGATTATAGTCCAACAGGTTTATTTGAAAACGCATGTTTTCGGAGCTTTACCGACTCTGAAAGCTTGTGTTTTCAAATTAGCCTGTTGGACTATAACCTGGTATCTTGTGATTTATGAACTCAATTCAAAAACTGGGCCCACAGTGCCTCATGGATGCCATCAGCATCAGAACTGTGTTCAACCTCAATCTGTAATTTATGCCCTGGCATATCCCCACTCTGTCATTGTTATCAGGCCAGGACATCAACCAGACTTTAAGAAAAGAATGTGGGAACGCCAGAAGGAGCTCAAGCCAAATTTAAAAATTAAGCATCAACTTCATGAAGTTAAAACACAGGACTACGTGGCTGCCAAATAACAGAAGCAGAATGCAACAGACAAGGCTAAGCAATCCCATAATGGATCAGCTATAAGCTCTGCAGTATCTATATCTAGTCCTGACAGGTGATGGACAATTAATCATAAAATGTAGAGGCTTAACAAATATTCTCAATGATGTGGGAGCCTAGCCATCAGTGCAAAAGACAAGGTTAAAGCAGCTGGAATCACCTTCAGCCAGAAATGCCAATGGACAATCTATTTTAGTGTTTGACATGCCCAGCATCACAGGTGTCAGTCTTCAACCAATGCAATTCACTCAATGTGATATCAAGAGCCAGCTGAAGATGAATGATATTGCAAAGGCTATGGGTCCTGACAACATTCTGTCAACAGTACTCAAACCCATGCTCCAAAACCACCTTGCGCATCACTATGCTGTTTAAGTACAACTACAACACTGGCATCTGTCCAACAATGTGAAAAGTTGCCCAGCTGTGTACCAAGCACAAAACCAAGACAATTCCAATCTGACCAATCATCATTCTATCAGTTTAATCTCAAGCATCAGTAAAGTATCTAAATAAGTCATTGACATGCATTTGAAAAGGATCACCTGCTCACTGACATTGCATTTGAGTTCCCCCAGGAGAGTTGGCTCCGATCTCAGTACAGTCTTGGTCCAAACATAGTCAAAAAGAGCAAAATTCAAATGGTGAGGTGAAAGTGACTGCCCTTGGCATCAAAGCAGCATTCAACAGATTATGGTACCAAGGAACCTGAGCAAAACTGGCGTCGATGGGAATCAGAAGGAAAACTTGCTGCTGGCTGGAGTCCTACCCTATAAAAATGAAGTTGGTAGCGTTTTTTGGGAGATCAATCATCTTAGCCCCAGGACATCTCTGCACGAGTTCCTCAGGGTTGTGGTCTAAGCTTGATGATATTTAGCTTCTTTATCAATGACCTTTTCTCCATCATAATGTCAGAAGTCGTGGTATTTCCTGATGATTGCACAGTATTCATCATCATTCGTGACTCCTTACATAATAAAGCAGTCTGTAGCCAAATGCAGCAAGACCTGGATAACATTCAGGTTTGGGAAGATGAGTGGCAAATGACACACTACACAAGTGCCAAAAAAAAGTGACCACTAATAATTAGAGTGCAATTGCAGCACCATTGCTGAATCCACCAATATTAAGATCCTGTGATTTCAACTGACCAGAAACTGAACTGGACCAGCTATACAAAATACTTTCACTGCAAAAGCAAATCAAAGATTAGAAATTCTGCAGTGAGTAAATCACCTTCTGTCACTCCAGTACCTGTCCACCATCTGAAAGGAATAATTCAAGCATGTGATGGAATATTCTCTTCTTCCTTGATGAGTCCATCTCTCAACACTCAAGAAGCTTGACACCATCCAAGGTACAGATGGCATCCAGTGTCTTCAACATGCACTCCCTTCATCACTGACACAGTGGTTGTAGTGTACATACTGAAACTATCATGAATTCACCAAGGATCCATTGAAAGCATCTTCCAGACCCATGATCTCTATCACCGAGACGGACAAGGGCAACAGATGCATGTGAACACCACCTGAAAATTCCTCTCCAAGCCACACATCATCCTGACTTGGAATTATATTACCTGCCCTTCATTGTCACTGGTTCAAAATCCTGGAACTCCTTAACAGTAGCTTAGGTGACTCGACACCACAAGAACAGTCACGTCTCAAGACAGCAGCTCAATATTGCCTTCTCCAGGGAAATTAGGCATAGGCAATAAATGCTGACCTGGCCAAAGAGATGTCCAAATCCCATAAGCAAATAAAAACCAAATGCATGAAACTGGAGGTAATACACAGATTAGGCAGGTGCTAATAAAATGCCAGCTCATGGATCTTAAATGATCTACTCCTAGTACCACCATGGCCTTAAAATGGTCAATGTTCAACATTCGATTGACACTGTACACAAGAAAGCAGTTAGTATGAACAACATTAGAATCAAAAGAAAAAAAATTAAGACAGCAACTTGTGCAGGAAATGACAAAATTTTCAGTCACCTGAGACTCATTCCAAAACCTCTTTCAGTAATGGACAATTTCTTAAAAACAATGACCACTTTACATGCATTGCATGGAACTATATAAAGTGTACATTCTTGATCTTATTTCAAGTTAATTCGTACCTAAAGTATACGTCATATGTTTTTAAAAAATCAGATAAAGGAAAAAAGTTAACATAAGACAAGATATCATGTCATAAGATTCCTGTCGTGGCTACTACAGCACAGGTTATAATGCATTTAAACATATGAAAACACTGGGATATCTCAAAAAGCTTCACTTCGTTGAATTACTCATTTGAAACCCAGTCATTTTTGTCATGCAGGCAAATCAACCAGCCAATTACCATGTAGGTAGATTAGGAAAAACAGCAAATTGGATAAATTAATTGTTTTTGCATTGATTCGGAGCTGAGCAATCCAGAGGAAAGAGATCTCAGATACTGCTTTAGAAGTCACAGCTCCAACACTAGTAAGACTGAATACAGCAAGTATGCATACTCGTCATTTACTGCATGTTAAGTATTACACCTAAGTGTAACAAAAGTATAATTACACAAAACAAATGCTAAAGTAAGTGCTGAAACACATAGAAATCACTCCCAATACACATCCAAAAAAAGCCTAGTAAGTTAATTGTGGATCTTTCAACAAAATATACATACAAAAACACAACAGTTTTGGAGGCTTATGCTATCAATGCCCCAGAAACAAAAATAATGTTGCAATGGACAGTATCCAGAAAACTTCTTCTGAACAATTTGTGGGCTATAAACTTTAAATTTTAATACAAAAAACTTCAAATTGCGTAAACAATTAACTCAAGTGTCAAACACAGAACACTATGGCAAATACTTAAGAACAAGACATTATACACACACTGCATGGTTTCAGCAGGAAATCCAAGAGCTTCATTTGAAAATCTACTGCTTAAAATTGACAAAATTCTGCGTTTGCATTGTAAAGAGCCACTTTTTCAAGTTTTTCAAGCACACAAAACTCAATCAAAACTTGCCAACAGGACTACATATTACTATCAACCTTTTCACTCAATAATGTACCATATTTGGGTTGTAAAATGTTACATTATTAAAATTTAAATAGTTCACTTAATCACGATGACTGTGCATTGTCTGTAAACACCAAGTTAATCTATTTTTCTAATCAACCTGTTCAGAGATGTTATTACACACCTCTGGAGCAGTAGGGATTGAACCCTGGCCTCCCGATCCACAAGCAGGGATGCTACCAATGCATTACAAGAGGGTCCCTGAAACTTTTAAAACGAAGTTAATTCTGCAGTTCACATATATATTATCTTCCATTACCAAGCGTTTACTTACTTCTTTGTAGAAATGAAACAATAGGAAGTGTAATAGGAACATGCTCTACTTCTAGTCCGTATTTTGTTACATGGTGCACTTTCCCTCGAAGTTTAACGTGTTTTTCAATAAAGCTATCAGGTATCTCTCGAGCATTGTTAAATTTAGTAAACTGCAAAGAAGAGAAAAAAAGTTACAAAACTTTCATTATTGATCAATATATATTATTTGATATTGACAGATACTCTAGAGCTTTTTTTGTATATACACAATCATTAAATTACAGAACCTAAAAAACTTAATTTTATGAATTTATTATATCTCCAATTATTTTGCTTATGCCCAATCATATAGAACATAGAACATTACAGCGCAGTACAGGCCCTTTGGCCCTCGATGTTGCGCCGACCTGTGAAACCAATCTGAAGCCCATCTAACCTAAACTATTCCATTATCATCCATATGTTTATCCAATGACCATTTAAATGCCCTTAAAGTTGGCGAGTCTACTACTTTTGCAGGCAGGGCATTCCACGCCCTTACTACTCTCTGAGTAAAGTGTATAGTATATGGTTTCTTATTAATGGATGCATCAAATGAATTAGAACACTTCATTTTGCTGCCAAGGTTAAAAATGTTCAACTTCAATAAGTAAACTGACGTGAAGGAACTAAATGCAAAGAGCATTTTGCTAGACTGCAAAAGCATAGACCCCAATATCTCTAATTGCTTTGTTACATGAAGTTCAGAATGGAGATCAGAATAAAACAAAGAACTGCAGATGCCAGAGATCTAAAACAAATAAAAGACAGATTTAATGTTTCGAGTCCAATGACCCTTCTTCAGAATCAGCTTAAATGGTAATTGTTTTCTCTCCACAAATGCTGCCAGGTCTGCTGAGCTTCTCCAGCAGTTTCTGTTTTTGTTGATACAGATCAGAACTCTGGTTCTATTTTTAGAAAGTCAATTAATAATCTATATTTAGGTTCCAGTTCAAATCATACAACAATCCCACATCAACTTCAATGAGACAATCTGACAAACTTTAAGGATATTTTTCACTTTCTAGCATGATATTGCTCTACAGATAGTGGCTGAAAATATGTTTTATTTTCTATAACGACAAGGGTTCATAAACATTGTCAATTTTTCCTTTTATTTTAATGCTGGAGAAACTCAGCAGGTTTAGTAGCATCTGCAGAGGGAAAACCAGAGTTAACATTTAAAGCCTGATATGACTTCTTCAGAACGGCAAGGGTTTGCAAGTAGCCACCCTGCTCTCATACTAACATTTCTGCCCTGGGACTTCTGCAATGTTCCAAAAAAGCACAACACAAGTTTGAAGAACATCTTATTTTCTGATCAGGCATTTTACAGCCGCCAGGACTCATTACCGAATTTCACACCTTCAGAGCCTGACCACATGATGTCTATCTTCCGTTTTTCTTGTGTTCCCTCTCCCCCACTCCCCCAGCTTGATTGTCTTGCTTGTGTCTTGTTTACTTTGTTCTCTGCTGAGAGAAGCCAGTTACATCCTTCCACACCTTAATTTACACCTATTCTATATCTGCTTCTCTTTCACCCTAATCAGCAACTCCTTTGTCTTTTGCATTGGGCCTCCATCACATCATCTGTCCCTGGCTCCTCCTCCATGTCTGTCAAAACTAAAAAATAAACTAACAGTCAACCTCTTTCAGTTCTGAGGAAGTGACATCAGACGTGAAACAGCAATTAAAAATTTTATTAAATAACATTATATTGTATCTGCAAATCTGCAAAATTTCAATCAGAAATTCCTAACTTGTCTCCTGAATTCTATCCTCCAAACTGGAGGTTATCCAAAACTCAGCATGCATGTATCACATCAAGTCCTATTCATCTTTCATCCCCATGCTCACTGACCTATATTACTTCTAGCCAAGAACACCTTGATTTCAAAATTCTCATTCTTTCCGAATCAACTCACAGCATTGCCTCTCATCTCTAAACTCCTCTTACTCCACAATGGTCAAAGATCTCTGTACTTCAATTCTGGTATCTTGCATATAATTGATTTTAGAGACAACACAGTATGGAGCTGGAGGAACAAAGCAGGCCAGGCAGCATCAGAGGAGCATGAAAGTTGACGTTTCAGGTCAGGGTCCTTCTACAGAAATGGGGAGGGGGAAGGGAGCTGGAAAATAAATAGAGAATAGGGGTGGGGATGGGGAAGGTAGGTGGGATAGTAATAGGTGAGTGCAAGTAGGGAGTGGTTGGGATTGGTCAGTGGGATGGGTGGGGCAGTTAGGTGGGAGAGAAGATGGACAGGTTTTGTCAGGTCAAGGAGGCGGGGATGAGGGGGAGAGTTGGCCATAGGAGGAGGCCGGGGGTGGGGTCATCTAAAACTGGCGAATTCCATGTTTAGGCCATCAGGCTGTAGGTTCCTGAGGCAGAATATGAGGTGTTGCTCCTCCAGTTTGTGGGTGGTGTCATTATGACACCAGAGGAGGCCCAGGATGGACATATCACCCAGGGAGTGGGAGGGTGAATTAAAATGTTTGGCAATCAGAAAGGGTAGCTGTTTGTCGTGTACAGAGTGCAGATGCGTCTCCGAGACTATGCTTGGTCTCACCAACGTAGAGGAGGTCACATCGGAAGCAGATACAGTAGACCAAGTTGAAAGGTTTGTTTTGGGCGTTGAATGGCGGTAAGGGGGGAGGTGTAGCATTTCCTGCGGCTGCAGGGAAAGGTGCCAGGCGTGGTGGGGTTAGTGGGGATTCTGGAGTGGACGAGGGAATTGTGGAGAGAGCAGTCCCTGTGAAAGGCAGATAGGGATGGGGAAGAAGTATCTCTTTGGTTATGGGGTCAGATTGTAGGTGGTGGAAGTGGCAGAGAATGATATGCTGGATGAGGAGGTTTGTGGGGCGATACGTGAGGACAAGGGGGATTCTGTCTTTATTTTTGTTGGGGGTAGGAAGTTTGAGGGCAGAAGTGCGGGAAATGCAAGAGATGTGGTTGAGAGCATTTTCAATCACCGGAGGGGGTAAGTTACGGTCCTTGAAATAGGAGGACATCTGGGATGTTCGGGAGTGGAACGCCCCACCTTGGGTTATGTTCCCCAACCCTGCACCACCCGTTTCTATCTCCTTTCCAAAATTCACAAACCTGACTGCCCCAGCTGACCCATCATCTCTGCCTGCCCCTGCCCCACTGAACTCATCTCCGCTTACCGTGACTCTGTTTAGTCCACCTGGTCCAGGAATTCCCCACCTACATCCGGGACACCCTCCAACTCCTCCGAGACTTCCAAACCCTTGCCCCCAACACCTCATCTTCACAATGGACAGTCAATCCCTATACACTTGTATCCCCCACACAGATGGCCTAAAAGCCCTCCGCATCTTGTTCTCCCGCAGGCCCAACCACTCCCCCTCCATCAACACCCTCATCTGCATAACAGAACTTGTACTTACCCTTAATAACTTCTCCATTAACTCCTCCCACTTCCTACAGACCAAGGGGGTGGCCATGGGTGGCTTAGGCCACAACCCTGAGAAACTCCTGCAGAGATGTCCTGGGCCTAAGATATTGATCTCCCAAAATACACTACCAACTTCATTTTTACTGGGTAGGACTCCAGCCAGCAGAGAGTTTCCCTTCTGATTTCACTGACTTCAGTTTTGCTAGTGTTCCTTCATACCATAATCTGTTGAATGCTGCTTTGATGCCAAGAGCAGTCACTTTCACCTCACCATTTGAACTTTGCTCTTTTTGACTATGTTTGGACCAAGACTATATCGAGATCAGAGCCAACTCTCCTGGGGGACTCAAATGCAATGTCAGTGAGCAGGTGATCCTTTTCAAATGCATGTCAATGACTTACTTCGATACTTTACTGATGCTTGAGATTAAACTGATAGAATGGTGATTGGTCAGATTGGAATTGTCTTGGTTTTGTGCTTGGTACACAGCTGGGCAACTTTTCACATTGTTGGACAGATGCCAGTGTTGTAGTTGTACTTAAACAGCATAGTGATGCACAAGGTGGTTTTGGAGCATGGGTTTGAGTACTATTGACAGAATGTTGTCAGGACCCATAGCCTTTGCAATATCATTCATCTTCAGCTGGCTCTTGATATCACATTGAGTGAATTGCATTGGTTGAAGACTGACACCTGTGATGCTGGGCATGTCAAACACTAAAATAGATTGTCCATTGGCATTTCTGGCTGAAGGTGATTCCAGCTGCTTTAACCTTGTCTTTTGCACTGATGGCTAGGCTCCCACATCATTGAGAATATTTGTTAAGCCTCTACATTTTATGATTAATTGTCCATCACCTGTCAGGACTAGATATAGATACTGCAGAGCTTATACCTGATCCATTATGGGATTGCTTAGCCTTGTCTGTTGCACTCGGCTTCTGTTATTTGGCAGCCAAGAAGTCCTGTGTTTTAACTTAATGAAGTTGATACCTATTTTTCAAATTTGGCTTGAGCTCCTTCTGGCATTCCTTCATTCTTTTGTTAAAATCCGGTTGATGTCCTGGCCTGATAACAATGGCAGAGTGGGAATATGCCAGGGCATAAGCTACAGATTGAGGTTGAACACAGTTCTGATGTTGATGCACTGTGGGCCCAGTTTTTGAGTTGAATTCATAAATCACATGATACCAATTATAGTCCAACAGGCTTATTTGAAAACACAAGCTTTCGGAGAAATAAAACTCTGAAAGCTTGCATTTTCAAATAAACCTGTTGGACTATAATCTGATGTCGTGTGATTTCTGACCTTGTCCACCTCAGTCCAACATCGGCACTTCCACATCTCGAGTTGAGTAGTTAGATCTGTTTGAAACCTATCCCATTTAGCAGACTGATGTGCCACAAAACATGATGGTGGGTATCTTCTTTATGAAGATCATGTAAAATGTGGCATGTACTATTTTATTTTCCTTGCAGAAATTCCTTTTCTCTTGTGGAACATTTGTTGATAGATTAGAACAAATTAATGTCTATGAAATTCAAATGCAGTGAGTCTTCATATAATGTTGCAGTTGCCTTAGCAAAAATCACAACTTTGAACAGAACAACTTCAAGTGAGTCATGGGTTAACATGTGAATCAATTTTAAAGCTGGAGTTGGCCTTTCCAAGCAAGTAATTTCTGACAGAACTCAGTGTACAAGTTAACAAATTGTATCATACATATGCAGGACTGCATTTGTTGCTGAAAGAAGTAAATAAACAAAATAAAATAATTACTAAATGTAAGACATACACTATTTCAAGTTGGGTAACAATCATCAATCTGTCTTGGGCAGTTCTTCAGGTTAAGGAAGAACTTCCTTCCGCTACATGTCTAAGTTCTGAAATGGCTGGTTTGTTTTTGGCATCTGTTGCTAAACAGATATTAATTGTCATTGCAATAATATTCTTGTGAGAAGACTCTTGTGGCACAGTGATAATCTCCCTATGTCAGGACCAGGAGGTCTGAGTTCCACTTCCAGCTGCTCGAAAAAATGTGTTCCAATCCTGCACATCCCAGATGTCTGTAACATGCCCCTCCGGTGATTGAAAATGCCCTGAACTGCATCTCTTGCGTTTCCTACACTCCTGCTCTCAAACCCCCTAACCCCCTTTTGTCCTCACATATCACCCCACCAACCTCCACATCCGGCATATCATTCTCCACCACTTCCCTCACCTGCAATCCGACCCCACAATGAAAGAGATATTTCCCTCCCCACCTGTATCTGCCTTTTGCAGGGACCACGCCCTCCGCAATTCCCTCATCCACTCCACACTCTCCACTAACCTCACCATGCCCGGCACGTTTCCCTGCAACCACAGGAAATACTACACCTGCCCCCTCACCTCACCTCCGTTCAACGTCGAAAACACCACCATTTGATCACGGCTGATATAAATCTCAACCTAGTATCTTGCACTCTCCCTGTAACGTTTGATCCCCTTACTGATCAACAACTTATCTATGTCTATCTTGCAACTGATTGATTAAGAAGGGAAAAATACAGTACGAAAGTAAGCTTGCAGGGAACATAAAGACTGACACAAAGTGTTTCTATCGGTATGTGAAGAGAAAGAGATTGGTGAAGACAAACGTACGTCCCCTACAGTCAGGGATGGGAGGAATGTTTAATGGGGGACAAAGAAATTGCTGAGCAACTGAATACATATTTTAGTCCTGTCTTCACAAAAGAAGACACAAATCATATTCCCGAAATGTTGGAGAATACAAGATTTAGTGAAAGGGAAGAATTGAGGGACATCAATATTAGTAGAGAAATGGTGCTGGGAAAATTGATGGGATTGAAGGCAGATAAATCTCCAAGGCCTGATAATTTACATCCCAGAGTACTTAAGGAAGTGGCTCTACAAATAATGGATGCATTGGTGGTCATCTTCCAGGATTCTATAGACTCTGGAACAGACACTGCAGATTGGAGGATAGCTAATGTCACTCCAATACTCAAAAAGGGAGGTAGAGAGAAAACAGGGAATTATACACCAGTAAGCCTAACATCATTAGTGGGGAAAATTCTCAAATCCATTATCAAGGACTTTATAGCAGAGCATTTAAAAAGCAGTGGCAGGATCAGACAGAGTCGGTATAGATTTATTAAGGGGAAATCATGCTTGCCAAATCTGTTGGAATTCTATGAAGATGTAACTCACAGTCTGAGGATTTGGGTAGACCGTTTAGGATGGCGATGAGGAGAAATTTCTTCACCCAAAGAGTGGTGAGTCTGTGGAATTCATTACCACAGGAAGTAGTTGATGCCAAAACATTCAATGTATTCAACGGGCAGCTAAATATAGCACTTGGGGCAAATGGGATCAAAGCTTATGGGAAGAAAGCAGGATTAGGCTATCAGATTGGACAATCATGATCGTGGTGAATGGCAGCGCAGGCTCGAAGGACCAAATGGCGTCCTACTTCTATCTTCGATGTATGTTTCTACGTTAAATACATTCAACGACATTGGTGGTACAATGGCAATGTGGTTAGCACTGCTGCATCACAGTGCCAGGGACCCGGGTTCAATTCCACCCTCAGGTGACTGTGTGGAGTTTGCATATTCTCCCTGTGTCTGTGTGGGTTTCCTCCGGGTGCTCCAGTTTCCTCCCACAGTCCAAAGATGTGCAGGCTAGGTGAATTGGTCATGCTAAATTGCCCATAGTGTTCAGGGATTTGTACATTAGGTGGGTTATAGGGGAATGGGTTTGGGTGGGTGCTCTGAGGGTTGGTGTGAACTTGTTAGGCCAAAGGGCCTGTTTCCACACTTTAGGGATTCTATGGATCCACAGCCTTTTATAGCAAAGATTTCTAAAGCTTCACCACCCTCTGGCTGAAGAAAATAACTGTAAAGCTTTATAAGTCATGAAGAGGTTTATCTTCACGGGAGTTTTTTTTTAAAAGTTGGACAGTTGCTTTTGACATTCAATTTTATTTCAGGCCAGTCTTAAGACTCGAAAGGTTAACTTTTCTGCTGACAAATACAAAATATAAGTTCGACATCAAATTCCCAGATTTGCGAATAAGTTTTTAAGCTGGATAGTTATTAATATAGCAGTATCTGCAAAGATAATTTCCCCTCGCTACAAGATGTCTCAAATTTGTCTCGTTCCCTCTGTAAACGAAAAGTTTTATGGCGCATAAGCAAAATTCAGAGAGAAAGATCGCTTGCTGAAATAAATAGCCCCATCAAACTCCAGAATCACACTTACTAGTCTAACGCTTCTGGCAAACATCACAACTCCGGCCACTGCCAGGCCCGTACTAACATGCTGCAAAAAAAAACGGAGTGGTGATCAATTTCCTCATGTTTACAAAATATACAGAGGGGCAAGAACCTGTCAACACTCCCATGTTCACAATCCTTCATGCACAAATTCCCTTTAAAGCCGATATCAGCCTACTGGCTGGCATAGGCCATTTTTATAGTAGCTGTTCGAGAAGCGCGCTTGTTGCTGATGGCGACGTGACTTTCGCCATCTGAGTGCAAATACCGGCATGTTCCCCCATACCCGAACCACATTAAGATGCTCGTCTGCAATCTCCACCAGGCGGCTGAGGTAATTGCCTAGCACATTCCGGTCTCGGTCAGGCATTGTCCCCTCGCTCGCTCGCTCTGACATCACACTCCAGGTGACGACACCAAATGATTCCGAAGTAACCGAAACAGCACGCGACCGAATTATTGGTGCGTCACTCAAAACATTCCCCCTCTTTTCGGGCGCTCGTCCGCAGCTAGTACCAGAGCTCTTATTGCAGACCTATGAACCAATCCATTGTTTATATCGTCGACTTCTTGCGGGGGGCGGGGGGTACTCTGAAAGAAAACAGACAACGAAGTAAGTGTTGGACTGTGCTGAAATGGTAATTTTGTATGTCGTGTATATTGTTAGCTGCCGTATAGAATATTACCAAGACGCACTAGTAAGCAGCTGCAGGAGAAACATGGTAGTTACTGTTTTGTAAAACAGTTTCATGGTTATATATTGAAAACAAAAAATACTGGAGGTCACAGAGGGTTAGGCAGCGTTCCTCAGAATTGAGGAAGGGTCACTCGACCCGAACTGTTTAACTCTCATTCTCTCCACAGATGCTGCCACACTTGCCGAGCTTTTCCAGCAATTTCTATTTGTGACCCTTCAGACCCTTTTTCTGAACAAGTGTCAAATGACTAGAAACCTTTACTTGCTGTCTACAGATACTGCTAGACCCGCTGCATTTCTCTAACAATGTAATTTTTTGTTTCGAATTGTTTTAAAGCGGAGGTCGACCCCGCCCCCCCCAATCATTAGTAAAACCGAAATACCCAGCCAGGCTCGCCTCACCCTATAATCTTTTAAAAGGTGTGAAAAGTGGCTGGTGGGTTTTTCATTCCAAACGGGCATGACTTTGAATTGATATAGTCCATTTGGGGTTACAAAAGCAGAAACTTCCCTATAGAATCCCTACTGTGTGGAAAACGGGCCCTTCGGCCCAACAAGTCTACACTGACCCACACAGATCCATCCCCCTATAACCCACTTAATCTACATATCCCTGAACACTACGGGCAATTTAGCATAGCCAATCCACCTAGCCAGCACATCTTTCACTCTCTCTGACAAAGGTACTTGCTAGTAACCGAAAAGTAAGTCCAACTTTGTTATGTAATGACTTGTCCTACTTTTTCCTCACAATCCTCCAGTCTTGGAATTGGGTATGAGTCAGATTTTTTCACATCATTGATCTTCAATCATGTATGCAAAATCGTTGAGAACCTTCAGGTTTGGGAACCAACACGATTGGCGAACTTCACTTGCTTTGACTCGGCTTGATGATATCTTCTTGGGGCATCGCTTCCACTTCTCCTGAACCTGCCTGGCTTTGAGAGGATTAAGCCTGTAGGGGTGTTGTTTTATCGGAACAGCATTCCCTATATCAATCTCATGTATATGGTATTAGTCCCCCGCCTTCTATTTCTACTTATTTCCTCACAGCATTGTAATAAGTCTTTCAATTCAGTTCTCCATTTCTGGGACAGATAGCTCATTACTGTATCCCATTCTTTAAGAACTTTCTCATTACTCAATTTATTCTGAGGCACATCAAAATCCACATCATCTGGATTTGATTCCTCACTGAGTGGCAGTAACTAATACCTGTTTCTCTGGTTCCCTTTCCCTGGCATAGAAAAGTTTTAACGCGTGAACGTGACATACCTGAATTTTTCTTCCTATCTGGCATCTTTACCAGATAATTCACTTAACTTAACTTCTTCTCAATCTGATAGGGACCACGAAACCTTGCTTTGAAGGGATCTCCTACCACAGGTAACAGCCCCAATGCTTTATCCCCACAGGCAAACGTAAAAAATTTAGATTTCTATCTGCTTCTTGCTTCATTATGTGCTGTGCCACCTTCAAATGTTGTTTAGCTAATTCACCCGTTCTGTTTAATCTATTTCTCACCTCAGATAATCCAATTGTGAGATCTCTGACTTTGTTCCAAACAACTTTTCCTTAATTAATTTTGAAGGCCCTCTTACTTTGTGTCTGAATATCACTTCAAATGGAGTAAACTTAGTTGATTCATTTGGAGCATCTCTTAAAAGCAAATAATATAAATGGGATACCTTTATGCCAATCATTTGAGTAATCCTGGCAATATGCCCTCAACATTGTTTTTATGCGAGTTTTTCAATGCTCCCTGGGATTCAGGATGGTACTCACTGGATTTAGTGTTTGATGCCTAAACTATCCATGACCTCCTTAGATAATTCGGCAGTAAAATTGGACCCTTAGTCTGACTGAATCTCCCTGGGTAGTCCATAATGGGTAAAGAAGGCAAGCAACTCTTCCACAACCACTTTTGCCTTAACATTCTGTAATGGAATAGCCTCCAGACGTCTGGTAGACTCGACCATTATAATTGGCAAATACTGGTTCCCATTTTTGGTTTTAGGCGGGGAACCTACCCAATCAGTCAAAACCGGCATGAAAAGTTTTTCCAATGTGGGAATTGGCATTAAAGGTGCTTGTTTTGCTACTGCCTGTGGTTTTCCTATCATCTGACATGTATGACAGGTATGGCAAAATTGAAGCACATCTTTATGCAATCCAGGCCAATAGAAATGCTTCTGGATCTTAGCCTGAGTCTTTGTCATTCCTAGATGACTTCCTACAGGTAATTTGTATGCTAATCGCAATACTTCCTGTCTGTATTCTACTGGCAACACAATTTGGTGAACTTCCTCCCATTTCTCCTCTGCACTAATCTTTCAAGGTCTCCATTTCTACCTTAAATGGACAAAATGTGTATTTTCAAAGATAGGTTGAAGAATAGCACAGCTATTTGAAAGAATTGTAGGGCAGGAATAGAGATTTGTGTAGTCAAACCAATGGTGAAATTGTTAAAGTTTTGAAATTGTTTTCAAAATCTGAAAAATTATCGTTAACAAACATACATGTCTAGAAACACTTTACTGTCAGCAACAGTTACCTCGTTTTAAAAGTACTTCTAATGTAGGAACACAGCAGCCAATTTGCACACAGCAAGCTTCCACAACAGCAGTGTAATTAGTGCCAGATAATTATTTTGTGATATGATTGAGGATTCAGTTTTAGCCAAGATACAGGAAAACTCTTCTGTTCTTCAAAATGGTTTAATGGGAAATTGGACCCACGTTCAGTGTTCCATCCAAAACATGGCACCTCCAAATTTGTCCTGCCACATCCAGTTGTGAATGGTGGTGGATAATTAACTAATTCACTAGAGGAACAGGCTATACAAATATCCCCATCCTCAATAATCAAAGAGCCCAGCACATCAGCGCAAAAGATAAGACTGAAGCATTTGCAGCAATCTTCAGCCAGAATCATCAAGTGAATGATTAATCTCAGCCTCCTCCAGTGGTCCACAGCATTACGGATACCAGTCTTCAGCCAATTCGATTCACTCCAATGTGAAGTCAAGAAACAGTTGGAGACACTAGATACTGCAAAGCTATGGCCCTGACAACAGTACTGAAAACTTGTGCTTGAGAACTTCCCACTCCCCTAGCCAAGCTCTTCCAGTACTTACAACACTAGTATCTACCTGACAATGTGGAAAATTGCCCAAGTATGAGCTTACTTAAAAAGCAGGATAAAACCAACCCAGCCAATTACTGCCCCAGAGTACTCTCAATCATCAGTAACGTGATGGAAAGTATCATCAATATTGCTAACAAGCAGCACCTGCTCACTGGTAACCTCTCAGTTACAGCCAGTTTGGGTTCTGCCAGGGCCACTCCAGCTCCTGACCTCATTGCAGCCTTGGTTTTAAAAAAAGGACAAAACAGTTGAATTCCAGAGTTTAAGTGAAAGTGACAACTCTTGACATTGAGACTGCATTTGACCGGGTTCAGCATTAAGGAGCCCTCGCAATACAGGAATTAATGTATATCACGGGCAAACTCTCTGCAGGCTGGAGTCATACCTGGTTATTGGAGGTCAGTCACTGCAGTTTCAGAACATCTCTGCAGGAGTTCGTCAGGATAGTGTCCTAGGCTCAACCATCTTCAGCTGCTTTCATCAACGACCTTCCCTCCACCATAAGGTCAGAAGTGGGGATGTTCACCATTGATTGTACAATGGCTGCAATTGGTGCTGACCAATCAGATGCTGAAGGAGTCCATGTTCAAATGCAACAGCATCTGGCCAATATCTAGGCATGGGGTGACAAGTGGCAAGTAACGTTTGTACCACACAAATCACCAGTAAGAGACAATCTGACTACCATCTCTTGATATTTCATGGTGTTACCATCACTGAATCCCCCACTAACAATATCCTTGGTGTTACCATTAATCAGACACCCAACTGGATTTGCCACATAAACACACTGGCTACAATAGCAGGTCAGAGGCTCGGAATACTGCGTTGAGTAACTCATCTCCTGACCTTCCAAAGCCTGTCCATCATCCAGAAGGCACAAAACAGGTGTGTGATAGTATACTGTCCACTTGCCTCTAAGTGCAGCTCCAACACACTGAAGAAGCTTGATGTTATCTGGGTCAAAGCAGCCTGCTTGATTGGCACCGCATTCACAAACATCCACTCTCTCCATCACCCATACTCAGTTGCAGTAGTTTGTACTATCTACAAGATGCATTGCAGAAGTTCACCAAAGATTCTCATAGCACCTTTCACTTTCATCTAGAAGGACAAGGGTAGCAGACACACGGGAATACCACCATCTTCAAGCTCCCCTCCTAGCCCCTCACCATCCTGACTTGTCGCTGGGTCAAAATCATGGAATTCCCTCCTTGGGAGCATTGTGGGTCAATCCACAGCAGGTGAACTGCAGAGGTTCAAGAAGGTAGCTCACCATCGTCTTCTCAAGGGCAACTAGGTATGGGCAATAAATGCTGGCTGGCCAGTGACACCCACAACCCACAAATCAATTTTGAAAACTTCCAGATTTCCTCAGTACATCGCTAGATTGCCTACCTCAATTTTTGTAATCAAATCCTTGAGTGGACCCCAATCTTCTGACTCAGAGCCAAGCACTATCAACTGAGGAACTGTTGAATGCTGTAATTAATAGTGCAGGAACCAGTAAATGACTGTGAATGAAAGCAGGCACCAATGATAATGAAATAGTGGAAATGGGCACAAGACTTATACAATTAATAGTAGGGCCTTGGATGGTTTTGTAGGAACAGAGCCACCTAGGGGTTCAAGTAAGTAATTCTTTGAAGTTTGTGTCACGTAGACAGGATGGTTAAAAAGTTGTTTAGCAAGCTTGCCTGAATTGCTAAGTCCTTTCGAGTATAGGAGTTGGGAAGTCATGTTGAGGATGTTCGGGAAATTGGTGAGGCCTCTTCTGGAGTACTCTGTCTAGTTCTGGTCGCCTTGTTAGAAGATATTATTAAACTAGAGAAGGTTCAGAACAGATTTACCAGGATGTTGCCGGATATGGAAGGTTTGAGTTATAAAGAAAGGCCGGATAGGCTGGAACTTCTTCCACTGGAGCATAGAAGGCCTAGAGGTGACCTTATAGAAGTTTTTAAAATCATGAGGGGTATTGATAGGGTTAATGGTAGGTGTCTTTTCCCTAGAATGGTGGATTCCAAGACTAGGGGGCATATTTTTAAGGTGACAGGAAAGAGATTTTAAAAAAGACACCAGGGGCAAATTTTTTTTACACAGGGTGGTTCGCGTGTGGAATGAAGTTCGTGAGGAAGTGGCGGATGCAGGCACAGTTACAATGTTTAAAAGACAGTTAGATAAGTATGTGAATAGGAAAAGTTTGGAAGGATATGGCAGGCACGTGGGATTAGTTTAGTTTGGGATTATGTTTGACATGGTCTGGCTGGTCCGAAGGGTCTGTTCTGTGCTGTGTGACTAACTGACTGAGAAATTCAGGTGAGTTACAATTAATGAATTATATAATAGGCAGTGAATTAATAGAACAGCAAACACGCTAATGAATAAATTAATATAGCAGCAGGCATCAGTAAATTAATAAGTCAATTCCACAGCAATAATTAGTAAACTTTCATTTTAATCAGTCTCATAGCTCCATTGAGTAAGTGAATAAAGCACAGCAAACCAATATCTTAATGTAGAAGCAGCCTTGAGTAAATAGAAGAAATGGAACAATAGCAACTGCGGACTGATGAGACATATAGGCATGTACACTCTGGCCTCCATATACGTGTAGAGTGTTGAGGCGTCTGATCAATTGTCATGAGTCATGACCAATTGTAAATTTGTACATGCACACAAAAGCCTGACGCCTTTCAATATTCTTCCTACTGCTCATGAACAAAGATCTAATTTAAACCAAAAAAAATCTTTCCAGTAACTGCATTAAAACAGAGGGTTAGAAATATGGAGATATTACTCAAAGAGGTAGTGGGAAAAGAGATAAGTTTGAGGCTGGTATAGTTGAGAAGAGGAGCAAGTCAAATAGTATAGGGAGGCAAGAGCAAGGCAGAGAACAAGATAAGACTGATAAATTAAAATGCATTTAGTTCAACGCAAGAAGCCTGACAGATGAGGCAGATGAACTCAGGGCATGGTTGGAAGTGTGGGACTGGGATATTGTAGCTATTATAGAAACATGGCTCATGGAGGCAGGACTGGCGGCTTAATGTTTCAGTGTATAGATGCTACAGGAAGGATAGAAAGGAGGGCAAGAGAAGAGGGGGAGTGGCATTGTTGGTTAGGGATAATATTACAGCTGTACTTAAGATACTTTTGGGAGTAAGTCCAGTGACGTTATTTGGATGGAGCTGAGAAATAAGAAAGGGATGACCTTATTGGGATTGTATGATAGGCCCCCA